ATTACTCTTTATAACACTAGCTATTTTCCAGTGTAAATCCCGTCAAAATCGGTCCAGCCGTTTCGGAGGTTAGCCGGAACAAACAGACAGACAGACCGACAAAAATTTAAAAATTGTTTTTTTTGTTATAGGTATCGTATATACTTTCATATGCATTTAGTAAAAACTGTTATTCTGACATTACAAACAGATCTTCAATTTTATTTATTTGTATAGAAGATAATTGTGACTACGCCATTTTTGTTAAATTAATATGTCGTACTGATTCCAAGACTGGCTACATCGTTTGACATTTGAATTTAAATAGTTAACAGGTAGTTAGTTGATATCCGTTTAAGCGATCTATGATTTATAAACAGGTTTGAAAATTAGATTAAGGGCATAAGAAGGGATGCCTCGTTTCCAGTAAAAAGGGTCTCTAGTTCTTTACACTCACTATACGAAACACAGCAGCATTAAGTTGCTATTTTACGCTGGTATTCTGTGAGAGCATGGTCCTACGCCGGTCTAGCTGACCCATTTGTGCTACTACAATAATACAGCTGCAGCGTAGCTCTACCACGTATAGAAAAAATATATATTTAAATAAAACTAGCTTTTACGGATTTTATCGTGTATACTAACTTATTTTATATTCCCGACATTTCGAGAACTTTACAGCACCCATGGTCACGATCATAAATATATAGATAACTATATAAAATATGTGTACGTACATAGGTACATGGATAATAATATCAAGATCAAGGCCGGCAACGCACCTGAAATTCTCCTGGTGTTGCAGTTGTTCATCGGCGGCGGTAGTCACTTACCATCAGGTGAGCCGCATGCTCGTTTGCCCCCGCTTCTATAAAAAAAAGATATCTACTACCCCATATCATCGTGTGGGTGTCGTAGTTTCCTCTGTAGACTCTGTAGACTTAACTACAGAGGAAAACTGAACCAGGATATAGGCAGCAGCATATTCCTGATAACAGCTGAATAAAACTAAAATACTGCGGTTGCAAACTAGGATTTCTGATAGGCTGTAATGGTATGTAATGATATTAAATTTCTATAATAATTAATATAAATAATAATACAATATTTATTATTACTATAAACTTCGAGTAAAAGGTCAATCGACTGATCCAACTCCGCTGGGCTACGATCGGAAGATCACAACACATCTTGTCACGTATTCCTATAAACAAGACATTATACAAACAGATCGTATCTCCACCTTTATTCTACAACAACCTATGCCTAAATACTACCTCCTGGGCAGCAGTGGTCTACACCGCGAACACCAACATGTTTATCATTAGTAACGATTATTATTGGTATTTTTCGTAGGCATCGACCCCAGGACTTACGATTCAAGCTAAGCACGCTGACGACTAAACTGCAACTACTATAAAAACAATTTCAACCTTAAAAGTATACACTGCCTCGAAGGTTGGGTTAAACACCGCTACCATTATAAGTTCGGAACACGATATATTTTTTTTATAAAACTATACACACATACTCTATATGTGGTAGAGCCATGCTGCAGCTATATTAGTAGTATAATTGTAGCACGAGTGGGTCGGCTCGACCGGGGAAGGATCACGCTCTCACAGAATACCAGTATAAAATGGCAGCTCGATACAGCTGTGTTTCGTATGGTGATTATAGAGAACCGGAGAGCCATTTTACTGGAAAAGAGGCATTCCATCTTAGTCCTCACACAACACAACGCATATACATTTTGATTCTTTATTGAGGATAAATGTAGATGTCTGTGGGTCACAGTAACCACTTACCATCAGGTGGACTGCTCGTTTGTCACCATATCCTATAAAAAAAATTAAAAAAAAATGAAGTGTCTGTCTTTAACATCGAAATAACCGCCATTTATTAATTTGAGAGGGTTATATGAATAACCTTTACAAGTTTGAAAAGTTTTGTCTGTCTGTCTGTCTAATTTTCAAAATGGCTAAACCAATTGTAATAAAATTTCACGAATAGATAGAGACTAATTCCAGGAGTTATCTAGGCTATATTTTATCCAAAAAAAAAACAAAGATTTTTTAAAAGTAAATAATATTTGATAATCTTAAACTAAATAATTCCTCATTAAATCCTTTTAATAGAAGGTGGATCGCTGTTTTCTAATATCTAATACTACTAACAACCTAAACGATTTCGTGGTGTTTCCTTTCAAGCGATACATTTAATTTATCAACCTTGCAATCACGGCCAGTAGTCATGTTACATAGCCGTTCAATTGCTACCGTTCAATCAAAAAAAAAACTCTTTTTTTATAATAATAACAAAATATGTCATTTCCGGTTGTTTAGCGATTTCTTACTCTGTGTGTTTGCACAAACACAACTTAGTAGCCAGGATTCTACAACAAGACTTCACTCTGAAGTGCAATCTTGTGAATCAAAAAGTGTCTAATTATAATTATATGCAGGAGCATATCAGACAACTTACGATCCGGTTTCCTAGCCGTAATCGGAAAGTACCGAGTCCGACAATACTAGAACTTGTTCATCATCACTTTTTTATATAGTATCAGTTTTTTAAGTTACACCTACAATACTATTTACTACTTTTGCAGATGGGCAAACGTGTGTATGCATTAAAACTAAACATAATTTTTTTTAAACATACCCAAATTTCAACTTGAAACATTCGAGCGAAAAAACAAACCCTTTCAGTGAAAAATCAAATTTCACACGTCACTACTTCGACGATTGCATACCTAGGTGTAATTGAGCCAAATTTCAAAACCTGCGTGAAACAGATAGACTCTGTATTGCTTACTGCTAATTTTAACATGGTACACTAAAATTATCAAACGAAGCTATCACAGATTAGTGACAGACTGAGTGAGAATGAGATAGATATATCGGCGCGTCTATAAAATACCGGTTGGATAGAAAGTGAGCGAGAAATTGCATCACTCTAGCGGAGTGTCACATCGATGGTGGCGTGGTAGAATTGAGGGTATATCGAAAAAACCCCACTCGATTATGTAGTACAGTAGTAGTTTACTGTAGGCGCCTCGCCGTGTGCGGGAGATTCCGCTTTAGTAAAGTAAATAAATAAAAATAAATCGATAAATAATCACGTTCATTGTCATTGCCATGATCATCGTAATGATCATCGTCGTGATCATGATCAATGAATGGATAAATGGTTAAGAAATCATAAGATTATTTCTTATTAAAGAATTATGTCTTTACAATAAAAATTACAATAGCAACTAAAAGATATAATATTCCAACTCTCTTTGGGGGAGGGACTCTTATGTTCAGCGGTGGACTTATAAAGACTGTTATAAATAAATAAATGATTGAATTAAATATGATAAAATTCCTTTAATTTTACCGTAATCGGTTTAGAAATATGCATTACTCTGCTGACTGACTTCTCAGTAACCGCCATAGCTTTTTTTGTTTTCGTTTACGCTTTACGCTCACAAGAGCCGTCTTCCAGTGGCTAATGAGTTGGGCAAAAAAAATGACGAAAGCGAAATCACATTACACGCGATTCCAACCGCGGTTTAACGGTGTAAGCATGACCCACATGTGGCGAACAACAAAACAGTTATGTCAAAAAAAGTACTAATTGGAAACGTATACGATCGAATTCCGTAGTCGTGCGCTAGCTTAATGCGTGAAGTAGATCTATCGTTTAGTGGCGGTGTAAGCATATCCACTACCCCATATCGTTCGATGGATGTTGCAAGGGGCAACAGAGTGTAATAAACCAGTAGATGGGCTGCAGCGCCTTCCTAATAACAATAAGAAAATAATTTTTCACGTGGTAGAGCCATACTGCAGATATATTAGTAGTAGCTGTAGCACGAATGGGTCGTATCGACCGGGAAGGACCACGCTCTCACAGAATACCAGCGTAAAATAGCAGCTCAATGCTTCTGTGTTTCGTATGGTGAGTGTAGAGAACCGGAGACCCATTTCACTGGAAACGAGGCATTACATCTTAGTCCTTACGTTTGACAACGCATTTTCATTCGTTATCGAGGATAGATGTAGATGTATATGGGCTACAACAATCACTTACCATCATGTGGACTGTGTATTTGTTTGTCACCCATATCCCATAAAAAACTGCGGCTGCCACTTTAATTACCAAGCGTGGTAAATATGGCAAATATCTCCCTTATGAGACAATATAAAGAGAGGCCTGTGTTCAGCAGTCGATTTGTGCTGAGCGACATGAGCGAGGAGCAAAAACGGGTTTATTTTTTGGTACGTTTAGAGGCATAACGGAGATAGCACTTAGCGTGTTAGTAACCGAGTTATTTTACTGATTTATAAAAACAGTAACGATATATTAAGTAGTGTTATGTACATAAGACCTGGCAAACACTCACCTGGGTAATTTCTGAGCTGCCCAACGTTTACCGGCCCGATGTGATGTATCTTCTGGCCGAATGTGTCCACTATTGTTCTTTTATCCACAGGTCAGGTATGGAAAGCTGCCTTAGTATTCGATGGAGCAGGGAAATGAGATCTTATCTATTGCTGGTAACGGAACGCGCGCGTACAAGGTACCGTCAAAAGCGTTAATGCTTGCGTTGACGAGGAACTTGCCGTTACTAGTGGTCGTTGCGGGTGTAGTTGAAAAAAGGGTTGCTCGCTTCAAAGTTAAAGAGTGCTTGCCAGTAAGAAAAAATATTTATTCGAAATGTTATACGTAAGACGAGATGCTTTCCTTTCAAATTGTACTATTTCTAGTTATAAAATTATACCGAACCATTAATGAAAAGAAAATAAAGACATCAAATACGGAACATGCCGCTCACCTTAAAAGTACGCAGTATCTTTTAACTAAATCTAAACAAATCTGTAATACAAACTAGCCCTTGATAAAAAAAATGTAAGGAGTATAAATAAAGTTAAACCTAGTAAGTATCAAACTATATCTTAAAATTACGGATAAATATTTAAGTTATTTCTAAAGAAAGTAAAATAAGGAATATGAATCATTATTTACGTTTATTATTCTATAGGAAGTGGACAAATTTTATTAACTGGTCGCTTCAAATATGTTTTCCCAATTTGGAGAGTTACAACACGCGTAATCCCATCAGAACCTGGATGCAGATGGTGTACACGCGCAAGTCGCCATTGTAAAGGTGGAAGGTTATCATCGCATACTACCACAATCATGCCTTCACGGACCGGATTTCCACGATTGGTGAACCATTTGCCACGTTGTTGAATTTCATGCAAATACTCTAAGCTCCACTTTTTCCAGAAATGTTGAACCGATTGTTGTATCAAACGCCACCTGAATAATCTACCCGGATTTTCATCCACAAGTGAAACGTCGGGGATAGCTGTTAACGGTTCACCTATCAGAAAGTGAGACGGAGTTAGAGGGAGGGGATCCTGCGCATCGGAGCTCAATATGCATAGCGGACGCGAGTTTAGCACTGCCTCTATTTGACATAGTAGGGTATGCATCTCATCATAGGTTAGGATACGAGGACCTACTACCCGATGAAAATGGTGTTTAAAACTTTTGACGCCCGCTTCAAAGAGGCCACCAAAATGACTTGCATACGGTGGCTGAAAATGCCATGTTATTCCTTCTTCCAGAGTCTTATTCTGGAGCGCGCCTTGTACAGTGTCATTCCGTAGGAAGGCATACAAGTCCTTTAGGTACCTGTCACAGCCGATGAAATTCTTACCGCAATCGGAATAAATATCCTTGCATAAACCTCGGCGAGACGTGAAGCGACGTAGTGCCGCTAAGAAACCCTCTGTTGTAAGTTCCGAAACTATTTCGAGGTGTATGGCCTTAACGCACATACATACAAATACACAGACGTAACATTTTACTATTTTTGCATTTCGCACTTTGTTAGCTCGAACGTAAAAAGGACCAGCGAAATCAACGGCGGTTTTAAGAAAGGGTCGTTCGGGTCGCAAACGTGAGGCAGGCAATGGACCCATGCTGGGCTGCTGGCGCACGGGACATGCTCGAAAACAACGGACACAGCGATGAATACATTGCCGTATGACGTCACGCCCGGATAAGATCCAATATTTTTGTAGAAGTATGTATTGTGTACTTTGCGCACCGGCATGCAAGTGAGATACGTGAGTGTAATTAATAATTAGAATCGATAACGGATGTTTTTTAGGTAAGATTAATTGGTGTTTTGATTCATATGGTAAAAGGGACTTATGTATCCTCCCACCTACGCGAACAAAATTGTTTGAGTCAATAAAGGGATTTAAGCGTCTTAATTGATTTGATGGGAGTTTTCCCTTAGAAAGGTTGTAAATGTCATCACGAAAAACGGATTGTTGTACAAGAAATATGAGTCGATTCAAAGTAAAATTGAACTCGGTTACGGAAATATGTTTAGAAAGAGGGGTTTGAACCTTCTTACATTTTTTATAGAAACGGAATAATAAAGCAGTGACACGTACCAGTTTACCCAGGGATGAATAACGTGATATAATTTCTACGTCGTCGTTGGTGGAAGAAGAAGTGCATGGATTGGAAACAATTGCAATGTTACGTTTTTCTTCTTGTGTCTGAGTAGCTTTGAAAACAGGCCAAGTAGCCTCATCCTTTTTTAAGAAGTGAGGACCGCGGAACCATATGCTGTGATGTAAAAAATTGGCGGGAAGCATTCCGCGTGAAGCCGCGTCTGCCGGATTGTCTGCAGACGGAACATGCCGCCAACGGCAATACGGAATATTACTTATAATTTCTGTTATGCGATTGGAAACAAAGGTTTTCCACTCATGTGGCGAAGAACGCAACCACGCTAGTACTACAGAAGAGTCAGACCATCCGTATATCTGATCGCGAGGTATGCAATTCCCATAAATATTTAAGGTAGCTTTCATTAATCTAGATAATAATAGGGCCGCCATGAGCTCTAGGCGCGGTATGGACATACGTTTAGTAGGCGCCACGCGTGTTTTAGCTAAAAGAAGGTAAGTATCCACTGCACCCATGTCTCCCCGCACGCGAAGATAGACGCATGCGGCATACGCTTTCTCGGATGCATCTGAGAACCCATGAAGTTGTACAGAATGAGTGTGGGTAAATACGTGTCGCGGAAAAGTAACTTTCGATAAGAGTGGAAGCTCGTTAGTAAAACTGGCCCATGAATTTATTATATCTTGGGGTGGGTGTTCGTCCCAATCTACACGTGCTATCCACAACAACTGGATTAAATGCTTAGCAAAAATGGTGACTGGCGATAAAAGGCCAAGTGGGTCATAAATTCTAGCAATTTCTGAAAGAATCGAACGCTTAGTACATTTGTTAGAGGTAATTTGAACACTGAAAGTAAATGAATCTGAATTTGAGTTCCACTGAAGACCAAGTACTTTAGTTTTCATGTCATTTTCCATCTCCGCAAAAGGTACGTAATGGTGCCGCTCACCATGAGAACTTGTGGGCTGAACCGCAGCGAGTAACGCAGGCGAGTTACTGTGCCACTTGTGAAGAGTAAAGCCGGCAGCCTGACATATGCTTATTAACTCCTGTTGTAGAGCAAGAGCTTCTGCCTCCGTATTGTCGCCTGACACTATATCATCTACGAATATGTCACCTATTATGACTTGAGAAGCACGTGGGAAACGAGTGGCTTCATCAAGCGCAAGTTGTCGCATTGTACGAAGTGCGAGGTAAGGTGAGGAACTAACTCCGAAAGTTACAGTACGAAGGCGATAGTCACGTATAGGTTCGTCAGGAGAAGTGCGCCATACGATACGCTGAAAATCCCTATCTGTGTCACGGACTAAAATGTTGCGGTACATCTGTTTAATGTCAGCTGTGAAGGCAATAGAATGAATTCGAAACTTCAGTAGAACGTCGACTATATCCAGATGGAGTTTGGGTCCTGTAAACAAAACATCATTCAGGGAGTTCCCATGGGTAGTCTTACAACCTGCATCGTAGACCACTCGCATTTTTGTTGTTTCGCTAGATTCCTTCACCACGCAGTGGTGCGGAATATAATAGACGCCACCAGATTGAGGTGAAAGGCCATCACAAGGTTCCATGTGATCAAGGTCCAAGTACTCCTGGAGGCATGCATGATAACTATATTTCAGTGGCGGATTGCGTTCAAGCTTGTATTCTAATCTGCGAAATCGAGCGATAGCAATGTCACGTGACTCACCAAGGGGCAAGGCGTCAGGCTTGAAAGGCAGAGCGACTACATATCGTCCTGTATCATTACGCGTATGCGTGTTTTCGAAAATTGTCTCACACAAAACTTCGTCGGGAGTGAGAGACCTTTGTTCTGTAATTGATTCTATTTCCCAAAAGCGTTGAAGATCAAACTCATCGTTAACCGAGCTGTAAAACACTTGAACTGGGAATGAAACGGGTGAATGAATATTAAAATCTAACTTGCCTAGCAGTAAATATCCAAAAATACTATTTATTGCTATGGGTGTACCAGGAGGCCCAGTCACCGTATTGTTTAATAGAATTTGGGGAAGTATGTCCGCTCCAAGTAACATTTCTACGGGTTGTGGTGTGAAGAAATCGGGATCAGCCAATGTCAAATTTTTAATGTGGGACCATTCCTTATAAGGTAATTGACAAGAGGGCATTTGTGTAGTAATAAGCTTCGGTAAGATTAAGGCTTCGATTTGTACCGAAGGTTGTGTTTTATTTTTTGGTGTAATATAGCACGAAACTAAACCCTTTGGATAAACCGGTTTGTTTTCATTGATTCCGTAAACAGGAGGAATATTGACATGTTTTCTCGCTAAGCCCAAACGTTGTACGCACGCCTCACTAATAAAGGAAACCTGGCTTCCCGAATCTATGAGACAACGCACGGTCGATCGCTTATGATTATTTACGTAAACATCGATGAGCGCTGTTGACAGTAACACTGTACTCGTTCGCACTGACGGAGCAGAACTAGATTGCGCGCTAGCGTCGCGAGTCGTGTGATGTATCGACGTCATAACCAGCTGAGAATCGCTCGAAGTGGCGGGATCGTACGCTGTAGGAGGGAGTGAAGCGGAGCTGTCATGCGGATCAGCTGTCTCGGTAGCAGCTACATAAGATTGATTATCGAAATGAATTAGCGTATGATGATGTTTGTTGCACGTCCGACACATAAAATTTGATCTGCATTGCTTAACATCGTGTCCAACGTGTAAACAATTAAAGCAAACGTTTTTACCACTAATAAATGTATAGCGCTCCTTGGGTGATAGGTTTAAAAACGTCGGACATTTAGTTAGTGTATGTTGGGCGTCGCAGCATATACAATGGAAATATTTAACACTCGGAAATTTGTTTGGAATATTATATGCAGACTCTGAAACAGGCTGTGATGTGTTGTTTCCTATAAATATACGGCGTGCGCCCTGAGATGCCGTCGTGCGGCTACCGCCGCTGCTTGATGGTGCGTTTGATTTTGATTGACCCTCGTGTTTAGTAATTTGACCGAAATTAGGGTGAGAAATTTCGCTTGCGGACAACTCCCGCTCCAAAAAGGATATTAGTGTGTTGATATCAGGAATTTCTGATGGTGATTTTAATGATAACTCAAAACGTTTGCGGATAGATGAAGGAATTTTTCGCAGTAAAATCGTTAATAAGATAAAACTCCATTCGTTTGTAGGAAATTTCATGACTTCAAGTGCTTTAATGTTTTCTTGGTAAATGTTTAGTAAATTACGTAAGCTGATTGTTGATTTTTCTGAACAAGGTTCAACATCGAGAATTCTGTCGAGATGAGTGGAAGCTATAATTCTTTTGTTCTCATAACGCGAAATTAATACCTGTAAGGCTACAGAATAGTTCGCGTCGGTAATGGGAATTGATTTAATTAAATTATAAGGTTCATTTTTTAAGGTAAGGAGTAAATATCTGAATTTCTCCGCATCCGTGTAGGCATTATTGTTATGTACGAGTGAAATATATAAGTCATAAAATGAATTCCAGTCAGTACTATTACCCGAGAAGCTGGGCAAGGGAATTTTAGGCAATTTTGGATTGTGGGATTGTGCAAACGATTCGGAGTTAAAAGACCTACTCATACGCCTGACTTGTTCGTCATCTTGTTTTAATTTGCTCAGATGCGTGACAATAGCGTAGTATGCGTCATCAAAATCGTTACGAATTTTAATTTGTTCATCTTTGTTGAACATTTTTGTCTTTATTAGACATTTTTCTATTTTAGTTTGTAATTTACTAAACTTTCTTTGTTGTGCCGTAAGATCTTTAGTTCGCGAACGGAACTTTTGTTCATCGGTCGTTGCGAACTGTAATGTTCTTTTTAAATCATCTAAAATAATATCGCGTTCGAACATGTCCTGCTCGCATGAAACATCACACATAAATTCTTCAACTCGTGCTGGATCCGGCATTTTGCGTTGCAAAGATGGCCTATACGACACGTCGGTGAAAGTACGTATGTACGTTAAATTTTAAAATTTAAAGTGTGTGTGAAACTAAAGATAACACTCTTACTAAGACAGCACGATTTGAAAGGAAAGATTTGGCTCGCAAGGTCCAAAAACAATTATGTTATGTACATAAGACCTGGCAAACACTCACCTGGGTAATTTCTGAGCTGCCCAACGTTTACCGGCCCGATGTGATGTATCTTCTGGCCGAATGTGTCCACTATTGTTCTTTTATCCACAGGTCAGGTATGGAAAGCTGCCTTAGTATTCGATGGAGCAGGGAAATGAGATCTTATCTATTGCTGGTAACGGAACGCGCGCGTACAAGGTACCGTCAAAAGCGTTAATGCTTGCGTTGACGAGGAACTTGCCGTTACTAGTGGTCGTTGCGGGTGTAGTTGAAAAAAGGGTTGCTCGCTTCAAAGTTAAAGAGTGCTTGCCAGTAAGAAAAAATATTTATTCGAAATGTTATACGTAAGACGAGATGCTTTCCTTTCAAATTGTACTATTTCTAGTTATAAAATTATACCGAACCATTAATGAAAAGAAAATAAAGACATCAAATACGGAACAAGTAGACAGTTTCGTTAAACTAGCGACTCGCCCCGGCTTCACGTGGGCAAGATATTTTAATGTGACGCCATCTTTAATCTATTAATATAATCAAAGAACATTTACTTATTAATACTTCTTTTCTCTATTTTTTCATATAAAATATATATAATAGATCACTCATAGTTTTATCTCTATCGTGAATTATAGTAGTAGTATAGTATCTATTTTATCCCCTCGCTTAGTTCTATCCACCCTTCGAGCATGGGCACACCGGTGGATATTATATCACAGTAGATAAAATGGGAGATAGACTTAGACTTAGATAGAGTTTTGTATGAATATAAACTTAAACCCACGTCCAATGAATTAGGATAGAATTGTTCCTTTCAAATGTCAAAAAACAATAATTTTTTATCTTTCATTTGGCTCCATGCTACGGACGGGGGATATATGTCTACACGTTATGTCAAACGGGAATATACTTCTCCCAGTTACCGTGCTTTGTCATAGGGACAAGATAATTTTATCTCTTGTCAGTGGATATAATCGGGGGATAAAATTTTTGTCCCTAGCCCATGCTAGCCGTGCAGTTATAGAGAGAATTTCCCGTAATCCCCACTCTCGGTAGACGGATTTTCTCCTGTATCGTAGAGGCAGTTAACATACAAAATTGCACAAGCACAAACATTTGTAACAACAATTATTTGTAGGCCATACAAATACATGTTCTTTGCGGCATTCGAACGTGCAGCCCTCAGCGCCGCAACTCATTCACATCTTCTTTGACGCTGCTCTTTGTCACCAGTCTTGGTATTTTACGTCTGGTGTAAACTAGATGGTTATAGCGACATCTGTCGCAAGTTATACGGCGTTACTACACTGCATCAGAGAATATTGAGTGTTCTTAAAGTAAGGTTACATCGATGACTCATCACAGTCTGTCCACTGCTAATCGTGTTTCTTCCAAGGTATACAACATAGCTCCTATCTTTGGCATCACGCATTTTTTTCTAACCGCCCACGTTTGGCAAGTTATTCCTTCATCTAAACAGGAAGCGTCGCAAACTACGCTTGCCTAAACGCAATTTACTTTGTCTTTGAGTTGATTCCGCCCAGTGTATTCCAGGAACACATCCCCGGCCGGCAACGCACGTGCAGTTCCTCTGATGTAGCAGTTGTGCATGGGTGGCGGTGGTAAAAAAAAAACAATCTCGACTCGAATTAATAAATTATCGATCGATAATCTTCACACAACGGGAGGTTATGCAATGTTATAAACCCAATTTTTTTATTACTTTGATGCCTGTATTGCGTTTAACTTTATAATCTATAGCTACTTTAAGCATTTCTTATATTGACGTTGATTTTTATGAGAAAGCCACAATTGTTTTATTTGCATTCACTGTATAATTTATACTTTTACTCATTTTGAATTATAAAAAGCATAAAGTTTGTTAAATCGATAAAAGAATAGATCAACGACATCGAACAACAATGTCACAAAAAAAGTTATTACATTAAGGACAATTAACGTTCTAATCGCAAAAACACATCAAATTTAAATTAAACTAGTTTTTACGAATTTCATCGCGTATATTAACTTATTTTATATTCACAACGTTTCGAGTACTTTACAGCACTCATGGTCCAGGGAGTAGGTATGGGTGGGGGATGAGGTGTTTGACGTCCCAATGTCATAAATAACCACATCTACCTTCAGTTTAAAATTACAAATTTTCGATCCGATCTACGCAGAATGAGCTTATAGTATCTTGAAGTCTTGTAGTTGTATGCCCAAGCAATCCCAATCCAAGTTGGGATTTAATTTTATTAATTATAATAGAATTCCAAACAGATGTTAGTACCCAGCCATCTTCTCTATTGAAATTAGGATATTTTGTGTTTTAAATAGCCTTGCGAAGCGAGGATTTGTGGTTAATCAAATCTGATGTAGTGACGATCGATCCTGCGATCGAGCGATCCTGTGCGTGTTCACAGACTTATTACCATCTCATAAGGCCTATCTTAATCGGTTTCATTTAAATGTGTTGTGTTCGCCTAAACATAAAAAAATCATAAATCCATCGAACATAAAATTTAACAAGTGCTACTGTGGTGTACTTACAAGAAACATCAGAGTTATGTCGGTCCGAGAATCATAAAAAACCACATCTGTGAACGTCTGAATGTGTGGCTCAAGGATAAAGTCATTAGCAAACGCCTTTATCCTCAGACCATTGAAAAAAACTCAGTAAAACCAAAGCCTATTAACACAAACATAATTCCCTTCGCAAAAGCGTCTTGAATTCAACATATACCAATAGCGGAAAGTTAATAGCAAGAATTAACAGTCGTGAGGGCATTCACTTCTCTTGGACCAATTGGATGATTGCCGGTTATGTCCGAAGGGACCCGCACCGCGACAAATTGACGGTTAACCCCTAACACTATCTTAATTGAAAGTTAATTTCGTTTTAACTGTACAAATAACTTAAAATCAGATTAAAGAACATCTAACTAAAGCATTGCTATTGGATGCTACCTTAATTTCATTTCATGTCAAAAAATCAATGAAACAATTTGACTTTTTTTATTATTTCTGTATTTAATTGTTGTTTGATTATGTTTAGCTGTTACCACAAGATGCTGTTTCGTATTTTTGTTTTATATTTTATATAAAAAAAATAAAAAAATTAGAAATCGATAAACTAAACTACGCATATTCATAAAAGTAGGAAAATTAAAAAAAAAGAGTTAAAAAAGGTGCAAAAAGTTAAAGGTCATATCACTGAGGTATCGTTTTAAGTATTTAAACACTCTAAAAACCGATAAATTTTTATTTAAAAGGCATAAAATAACCTTGTGAAATAAATAACTTACGCTCACTCCCAACTAGCGACATCTGGTAAGCATAAAATTATAAGTCCTCATAAGTTACAAATTGTGAATGGTTCATCGCAAATAAATCAAACACAGTATTTCAATTCACGCACGTTCGACGCTATCTTACTCTATGTGTGTATTATTTCTGTGTGTACATTCTCTACCTCGTTCTATCTTTGATTGTTGACGCTACTCTCCATTGCCACCTGTATCACAGTTTAAAGACCTCCTATATCCATCAACTTCAGTGGCTTCGCGAAACACGGCGGTTGCCACTACGAGGGACCATTCTTCCCCATCCGTTGTCGGTACTTCCAGCTACATGACCGGCTCGTTTGATGTATGTATGATAACCTTGAATATATTTATTATATCCAATGTGAACATTAAAATCCACACGTTCATCTTCGACGACAAGTAGAGTTCTGTAAACAAAATGAGTTTATAAGTTAATCAATGTCAAATTTTCTGTTGTATTGGAGTTGGACACTAGCTAACCAATGATTACTGTTTTATTAATATGGTTGTATTGTATAATAATCTATATCTATATCTATACAAATAAATGAAATTGAAGTGTCTGTTTGTAATGTCAAAATAACAGCTTTTTATTTCTCAATCAAACTTCAACTAGTAATTGTACCATTAAGTCGAATTTAAATTTCGACTGGGAGATGATACATTTCTACTGATGACTCAACACCATTGTTATCACGGGCATATTATGTTCAATTGTAATTAGCGATTTCGAAATATTAAGTACTAATTAAGTACAAGGTCCAAGCAAGAGTCGTAATTCAGCGTTTGTTTTTTAATTTAAGCCAATTACGAATATTTCGAGGAATTACGTCATTCGAACCCTAATTCTTTTTCTGAAATAAAAGTAGCCTAAGTTACTCCTTGTGACATCAGCTATCTGCCAGTGAAAATCACGTCAAAATCGGTCCAGCTGCTTCGGAGATTAGCCGGAACAAACAGACAGACAGACAGACAAACGAAAACTTTAAAAATTGTATTTTTGTTATTAGTACCGTATATACTTTCATATGCATTTACTAAAAAACCTGTAATTTTACATTACAAACAGACACTTTAATTTTATTTAATTGCTTACATATAGAAATAGATTATAGATACTATAAAACATATTTTATCACAAATAACAACGTTACATCATTGAGTTATATGTACTACGTACTAGAGAAGCTATTCCAAACAAAAATTGTGCGCTACTCTATGTCTTCGCGCATGCGCGGGAGATAGTAGAGTCGCGTATGCGCGAAGACTTTAATTTAATATAAAATAAGATATTAATATAAAATATATATAAGTATTTAATATAAAATACTCTTATTTTATGTAATCTAAACAAACATATTTCTAAATAAAATGTCATAATAATTATCTTATGGAATTCACAAATGTTCAATTTACGCAGTGTACGGATTGCAGTACAGTTCAGTTGAACATAGTCAATGTTCGGAATGCGAAATCTAGTGCTACATAAATAATAATGTTCTTAT